TATTGTTCCTCTAAAGCTTGACGCGCCCCTGTAGCTATTTGTTTTCGTAACGCAAGCTGAGGAGTGGGTGAACTGAGATATGCTTTGGCATATTTTCGCTCATAGACGGGAGAGTTGAGTATATGAGCAGACGCGTGTTCTACAGGCGGTAACGACGGTGGCTCTTGTGTGATTTTGGCGAGAACTGTGAACATGAAAGCTATCTGGCTGTTTTCATTTGCCGCATCGATGAGAGCATGGACGATCGGGTATGACGTCCCTCCGAGTCGTGCTGAATTGAGGGCAACGACTGTACGGTCATACGCGAGCATTTTGGTGTGCATTTGGAGGGATAGAGGGGCAGAGGCCGAAGTTTGTTTCTTCATCACTGAAGTAGACATTCCCATGGTCGACGCCGCAAGGTTGGCAGACACGGGTACAGATGCTCCCAATTGCTCGAATAACCTCTTTTTCTTCTCCTCCCAGTCTCTGGCTGTTCTGTCTTCCAGCATACGGTAAAAACTTTCCTGGGTCTCCTTTCTCCCGTTTTCGATCGTAGTGATGAGATTTTGTTCATGCGCGTGTCGGAGGAAGGAGGAAACGTCGGTATCTTGTAGTGGTTGTAGAGTGGAGGAAGAAAATGTAGTTGAAGCATTGAGATGGGCTATAGATTGGCTCAAGGCGGAGCCATCCACCGAAGCCTGTGCAAGAAGGAAGTTTCTGTTAAATCAAGTTAGAGAGGGAAGAGCAGGAGGTTTCATTCAACCGCGGCAAGACGTACGCCCTATCCGCATCTCCGGACGCGTTGTGCTTTGACACTAGTCTCCGTGATTGAGCCTCAATCTGCTCCAGAGAAAGATTCACAGAAGGCAGATCGGGTGGTTTAGAGTTCAAGAGATGCTTTGTCAGATCTTTGGACGCGGAGAGGATCGAAGAAAGGTCGGCGGAAGTCATGTTGGTTCTTCAAAGATCGTACACGCGTTTGGATGAATAGCCTCGATGATGGATCCAAACTTTTTGAAGAGGAGAAGAAAGATAGTACGTGGGGTTCGAGCTCGATCTTCACCACTTGTTATTTTACGTCGAGTAGGACGAGAGATTCGACTACCACCACAGGCCAAAGTTGGGTGTTGGTTGGGTGCCAAGTTTGAGTTCAAATAGGCGCCCAATGGGAATTCAATTGTATTTCACGACTAAGTCACACACTTTCAAGTCTCCGTTCGCAAGCATCCTGTATACACGAACGAGTTGATGTACTCTTTTTTGGGGTACTACAGACGGCTAGCCAGGCTACAAGCATGCAGATTCCACAGTATCCATATAGCTGAGAGCCAACCGTCTGACAACTTTCGAAATCTTGATGAACCAAGCCCTTAAGGATTTCAATGATACTGAACTGAACTCCGTAATGTACCTGCAATGACTACTAACTAATAATATTAAGGATCCAAGAACCTCGGTACTCCGTTGGACGGTCTCGTTCAGGGACTTATCAAAATGATCTCTTGCCGGAGCCCAGCGTGAACAAGACACTTGAACGTGCACATTGCTCAAAACATGATCTATGATAGCTTTGTGTTGTACGAAACAGAGAGCAGAACATGTTTGGAGAACACTAAATATGCGAACCGCAAGATACTTGTGTACGTAGTAATCCAGTTTGAACTTTGCGAAAATTTGAAGGACAGTCATATTTTGGAAGCACATAGGTAAATTAAAAGGTATGGAATCGTCACAAAATGATTCAGGTCGAGGAATAAATAGAAATAGCTAGAAAGTAGGTCATTGCTCTGGACGACGAGCCGGGGTCGGGGTCAGGACGAAATGCGCTTGATCATAATCTGGAGGTGCCTCCGGAATTCCAATACCACAACCATTAACAGTACTCTCCAAAATCGACCCCGGCGGTGCTGTCGGCGCATCATGGTAATACTGTGCCATGATCGATCCCCTATAGTCAATCGAAGATGTGACTGGAGAGCTCGGAGTCATATACGTCGTCGAAGACTGGGAATACACAGTTGTCGCAGACTGAGGGTACACCGTCGACTTTGCCTGACTGGTAGCCCAGCTCATGTCACTGCTTCGCATGGCATCGGAACGTAACGGGGCGTAGGTCATTGCAGGTGCAGGCTGGTAATCAGAGAATGGAACATCCGTGCTTGAGGGAGCATGATTCAAGAGCCAAGAAGGGGGCACTCCAGTGCTAGCCATCTGCTTTGCACTATCGCTCCTGGTCTGTGCACCAGTCGTGTTGTCTTTCTGGGCTTGTTTGGTTTGACGTCGGCGTCGGTAGAAGACGAAACAGGCTCCAAAGATGAGCGCGCCCAAGATGGCTCCCACGACGGCGCCTATGATAGCAGCATGATTCGAAGAGTGACTGCTTCAAGTAAGTATGAGATATTGGATATGATGATAGCCAGGCAAGTTGTTTACCTAGATGTTTCAGAGTTGGCAGAACCTGCAGATGCTGATGGATTTGAGCTTGATAGAGCGGTCGTCGTCGCCTCAGTCAGGGATCCAGCGGAACTAGTAGCCGAGGTTGCAATTGGGGGCACTGAGAAGGATGTTCCTAAATATCTGATTGATCGAATATCATTATTGAGGTCAACGGATAAAAGTTTGAGTATACTGTACGTACATTACTTCAGTGGTCACCAGTGTAGTTTCCGAAGCTTGACCAGGGCTCAAGACGGTGAACGATGGACTGGTGTAGAATGTACTTGTGGTCGTAGAGCTACGAATCGTTTTCGCGTGTCAGAAACCTTTGAGAAAGTTTTAAAAAATATGAAGAACCTACTCTAAGACCACACCATACATGATGAACGTCCTGCAATCAAGCACAAAAGTGAATTGATATTAGCAATTGTCCGTCCAATATGCTCAGTACATACCCAAATTCCGCGACAGTAAGCGAAGCCGACTGCGTATCCAACGACTCCCCTTGCGTGCCGCTAACATTTGCGATGAATCCACCTCCTTCGTATTCACCCGTTGTTGGCCTCATCCATTGTCGCTCAAGAGAATAGACTGTCGGATCCGTAGAGTTTCGTATCCAAAAAACATCAAAGGCAACACCAGTGATGCTGTCTGACTGGATCGCCACAGAGAATCCTGAGACGTGGCTACAGACGTGTAGCAGGGAAGCAAGGAGGAGGAAAGGTCGAGCAAGACACCAAATTGAGGACATTATCAGCGAGTTCGATATGTCCGCAGCTAGTTTCTGAAACTCAGATTCTTCGCTGGGATCTAGAAAGGCTGATGGTGGTAGAGACGAGGGAGTCGACAAGCCGTAGGAGGTGAATCTGTTGGGTTAGAATAGGTTAGAATTGTACTGGGAGAGCCTGTGAGGTTTGAGGGGGATGAACCCGTCGGATCACTTAGAGGCTGAGCTGTGCATGAAAGGCGATGATCTCCTTGCAAAACTCACGCTTTTTCACACTGGGCAGCAAATTTTAACCGGCGGGCGTCGATGGATCATGCCTCTGGATGAGTCTACGCATCTTTTCGTATATCGAACATGGAAATCAGTGCCAATGCCATCGGGAGCTGGGAGGAAGTTTTCCATTCGGGGCCACATTATTGTAGCATATGGGCGGACCTTGAAGACGTGGAAAACGCGAGCGTGAATTGGGTGTAGATAGATGCTGGAAGACGATAAGAAAAGTCGGAGAAAATCTAAGTACAGCTTTGACATTCCATAACAGGCGTGCGCGGGAATTCACGGAAAAGTAGTTTTCGGCAGTTGCCGACTCTTCCAATATTTCACCCACCTCTCAACATCGCCATTTGTTTTCTTCTCTCTAAGTTCGTATTGGTTGACTTCTACGGCGTAAGGAAGATTAAAACTGATAGGATTCTTTTTGTACATAGGATATGGCATCAAAAACAGCCGCGGCGGTGGTTGTGAGTACACGCTTTTCAGCAGGACCGATGCAAGCATATTCAGAAATACGTGGTTGTTATTAGGACTTTACACGCATCTACACTTCCCTGGGTCTAGGGAAAGGTGCGTCTCATAACACCCTGGAATCATGATCTGCGCTGACGGACGCAACGTTGACAGAGACCATTGCTTCCCTTCAGGCTTTCCGTAAGCGCCACGGTGAAGCCCAACGTGCACAGGCTACCTACTCAAGTCAACCGACTACGGTTGACTTTGCCCACTACCGCTCTGTCTTGAAGAACAAAGCTATCGTGGACGAGGCTGAGAAGCTATTCAAGGACTTCAAACCTGTTTCATACGATGTCAGCGAACATATCAAAGCGATTGAGGCTTTTGAGGCAAAGGCTGTAAGTCTTTCATCGAACGTGGTACTTTTGACCATGACTCAGTTTGGGTCGATATGCGTGTTGCGTGTTATAGGTCGCCAAGGCTAAGGAGACAGAAGAGAAGATTGACGTGGAGTTGAAAGATTTGCAGGCAACTCTGAAGAACATTGAGGAAGCACGTCCATTCCAGGATTTGACGGTAAGTAAACTCTCAATAAGAACCCCAGGACGCAATCTTAATGGTTTCACCCAGGTTATGGACATTGGCGAAGCCCACCCACGTATAATAGAGACCGTCGAGACGATGATGAAGAAAGGCAAATGGAGTGTACCCGGTCGGTCTTGTTCCCATCGTCTTCCTGTTTCGCAATTGCTCACGCGCAAAACCCAGGTTACAAGGAGAAATTCGGTGATCTCAACCTCATGTAAACGACACACTCTGTTAGATGTCTCCTTACTTGATAATGCCTTTCTTCTGAACACTCTCACGAGCGGATGATCGTTGTGATTTTCTCTGGTTCGAGTGACCTCAACGAATATCCATCGTTGTTTTCGCAATGGGACGATGTGATCCTCACCTCCACTGATTCTGATTCTTCAAGGAATCAGGATGCAGTTATTGAGATGTTTAGCTTACTATAAACCTCGATAAACCTCGTTTGAGTTTAGTCCATGTAGATGTACGTAGAACTTCGTCGAATTAAGTTTGGAGGGCGAGTTGAGTATTTCATGCATTATCAACTAACAAGGGTTCGGTGGTGTAGTGGTTATCACGTCTGTCTCACAACGTACTAGAGTTGTCACAGGAGGTCCCCGGTTCGAGACCGGGTCGAACCACGCTTTTTGCTGGAAGTTGTGAAAGTTACGGTATCTTCAGCGTCTTGGAGTGGGACATTGATGTTTCGTTATGTTGCTTCCGGATATCAGAAGAAGGGAATATTTTCACTGCCAAGTTTGTCAAAACATGCCATGGAGGAGATTGGACTTTGAAGTTTGGAGCCTGGAGGCTGGAGGTGCACCCTGGTGCACCGGTGCAGGTGTTGTGGCGCTAAAAGAGGGTGATCATGATGTCACAGGCACATTTTTGCCACCTCCTAAAGTGGCTCTCGTCCGGCTCGGCGTTGCCAACCCGCCACAAGAAATTTTCTCGTCGTTGTTTTTCCAACATACCTTTGCAGACGTGTATCTCGTCTCTCTCACCTACTCTCAAGTGCTCTACTCAGTCCCTCAAAGAAAGAGGGGGGAAGCGAATCAACCACATACCTAGAAAGTCAATAGGAGTTCATTGTGGAGCCCGGTAAGCACAATTAATTTCTTGTTTCGCTTCTCAAGTTGCTCCAACTTTCCGACATTTGACTGACTGTTGATTGATTGAATGGGGGGCGACCGCGATGTATATAGGACTTGCTGAGAGCTGATAAGTTATAACAAGGCATCCTAAAGAACCCGGATTGATTTCGGAACAGCGACAAACTAGATTGGGAAAAGGCATTGAGGCAGACGAGAAATCACAGGGTCAGCGGAGAATCAACAAATGGCTGGGAGGAATTCGGACTCCAACTCTTCTCCTACATCGTCCACTGCTGCGGGCAAGAGGCCTGAAATTACCTCCAACGATCTCAATACCCAATGCCACTTGGCGCCTAATTCTCACAATCCCCGCAACTACCTTTCAACATCCTCTCTGGACGATCACGACCACGACGTTGCCTCGCCACCATACAGACCAGAAGCTAGCACGACAAGTTTGACCGGCCAAGAGTTGCTCTTGAATCCCAATCATCCTTACTCGCATTATCCTCCAAGTCCAGCGTATAGATCTCAGCCTAACATGTCAGACGAAGTTCACCTCGAAGGTGACCGGCACGCGACCGGAGATGCCAAGTGGGAAGGGGAACTTCGTGACACGAAACACAAAGTTCACTATCCCGAGTCGATTGACTTGGAGCCCATCCCAGTCGTTTCCGGTGATGTCTCTCTAGCCGCGAACAGAGCTAATCTGAAACTAGAAGAAATACCTTCGAGAGATTTTAATCGTTCCGGCACAAACAGTCCAGCAGACGCGATTTCGCTCGCTGGCACCGACGACGAGGAAGATGAAAGCGACTATGACTGGAGCGGCGAAGATGATTTGGTAGACGAGGAAGCCAAGTTCGAACAGCAGATGGGTGTTAAACCTAAAAGAACGGGTTGGGGATTCAAAAGAATTATCACTCTACTCTTTTCCTCCCTCCTCGGCTCCACACTCGTTGCCGGGATTCTCGTCACTCCCGGGATACTAATTCATTTCTACTGGTACAACGACAATCCTACCTCTCACCGAAAATATGTCGAGCAGAATGTTCAGGCATGGCTTTTCTGGGCTGCTGCTAATCTTCTCTTGTCCTGGTACCTTGCCGTCATCGTCGATCTCGTTCCGACTCTTGCCACTTTCATAATCGCCGCTGCATGGGGTCATGTTTCCGAGGTATTCAAATCTCGCGTAGAACTCTACAACTCCGTCAAAAACACCTTCAAACCGGTTTTGTACGCGGCTAGTGCTTGGGCTAGTTGGGTTATCATATTCGGGCATATCTTCAATCTCTATGACACTGAGGATTCGAGCCAGAGTCACGCTAGTTACACAGAGCGCCTCTATGAGGTGGTGGAATTCTTGTTCTTCTTTGTCTTGGTGATATGCGCACAGAAGATGCTTTCGCATATGATTGCGTTCGCGTTCCATCGTACGGCGTTCAAAGAACGTCTCGATGAAGTTCAACAGGCACTCAAGGTTATCGAGCAGTTACGGAATTACAGGCCGAAGCACGATCGTTTTGGCAGGCAGTCCAACAGGTCCAGCGGTTGGGCATGGAGTACTCCCGTACTAGAAAAAGCAAGCTTCGGTTTTGGCAAAAGCACGCATCACAAGGGCTTCTCTTCTTCGCGTCAGTATTCGCACCGTACGGATGACGACGGCTATGGCGCAGATGCAGACAACGACTTCGACGATCGCACCATGGTTGGGAACCCGTCCAGAAAGTCTACTCTGGGTAGTACTTTTGGGTTCTCAAACAAAGGCAAGGACAAAAGCAATCGTCGTTCTGGTGTCCCTGCTGGAGCAGGGGATCACGAACTAGGTGTATTCACTTCTACCACATCTCCTCGAGGATTCTCCCCCAACTCTGCTTCACCAGATACCAGTCGCCCCATGACTCCCGCTACTTCGGCTCCATTCATCATGAACCGAGCAGCCTCCCCTGCAGGTATCTCTCCTTCGGAAACCGGCGGTCGTATCACTCCCCATCGTTATCCCCCGGCTCGGAATTGAACACTGCCTCCCCTCGTCCCTCTATTGACTCCAATCATGGAGCAGGAGATACCCTCGCTGCGGCGGCCAAGGTTCTCAAATCTGCTGTACTCCATGATGCGCGAAATATCGGCGGAGATTCTGATCAAATCGCCAACGGTGGTGGTGGCGCGATAGGTTTGGGACACGTCGGATCGAGTGCTGAGGCTAAAAGACTTGCGAGAGCGATTTATCTCAAGTTCCGACCGATAGGACAAGGAAGGACGTATCTCCTCCCATCGGATTTTTACCCTGCGTTTCCTGATACGACGACGGCGCAAGCTGCTTTCCGGGTGTTCGACAAGGACAATAATGGGGATCTGAGTCGGGCTGAAATCAAGACTACGTTGCTCAAGGTGTATAAGGAGCGTCGGTTCCTCGCTCGGTCTATGCGGGATGTTGGGATAGCACTGAAGAGTCTGGATCAGATTTTGCTGTTCTTCGCACTGGTCGTCATATTCTTCATCAGTCTATCTGTGTTCGGAGTACAGATTGGGGACTCGCTGAGCAGTGTGTATACTTTGGGTATCGGCGCGAGTTTCATTTTCAAAACGAGTGCCAGTAGTGCCTTTGACGCGATCATGTTCTTATTCGTTACGCAGTGAGTCTTCTTTTGCAATTCTTTTTCTTGTTGGCCATCCGTGACTCAATACCGTGTTTTCGCGCTAGCCCTTATGACACCGGTGACCGATGCTTCATTGACGATGAGATTCTTGTGGTTAAGAAGATGGGCTTGTTTGCCACAGTATTCGCACGAGTTGATGGAACGGAGACATACTATTTCAACAGCCAACTTTTCTCGAAATTCATGTTAGTGTAACGTTCAAAATCTGGGCCAGTTTATGACACTAAATGTCGTTTTTTGTTCCTCTAGCACCAACGTACGTCGTTCCGGCCAGATGTACGAGAACGTCACTCTTCAACTTCACTGGCGGACTCCCATCGCGAAACTCGACGCTCTCGAAAAATCGTTGAATAACTGGTTGCAAACGGAGCAAAATCGCTGGTTTGTACCCAGTACAGCAATCATGTTACAAAGCATCAATTTCCAGAGATACTTAGAAGTCACCATAGGAATTGGCCACAATGGGTAAGGGTACCTTCCTCTTCGGACGACGTTCGCTTGCTAATCACTGCTGTCCATCCATAGCACTTGGCAAGACTGGGGTCTCCGTTGTGCCCGCAAAACTGCCTTCCACGCCGCCGTACAACACTACACTCGTCAACTTGGTATCGTCTGTTACGAATCGACCCAGCCTGTGGTCTACGCCAACGCACCTGACACTCCCGCCATCAACGTGTTCCCTGACGCTACGATGCCTCCCCCTTCACCAGGAGGCAACGGTGGCTGGGCTGGATCTGGGTACGAGGTAGAAACTGGTCCTGATGGAGGCATCGACATCATCTACGGAGATAGTTCTGCTGGTGGAGGCATCGAACCCAACCAGAGCACCGTGTCGCCCGCGGCGGCGGCGGCCCTTGGAGCAGGCGAAAAAGAGAGCGGTCTGAAGACTGCGCTTGGATTCACACCTCCCGAGGGTCTGGTTGGTTCGCATCTTAGGGCGAGGAAGACGAAGAGTAGGAAGGTCATGGTTGGGTTGGCTGGAGATGGATGAGTCTCAGATTCGTGTAGGTGGGGGGATTCTATGTGCACCTCCTGCTGGTCATTCCCAACTCAACGTCAACAACACGAAAGATGGATCTTGCAACGGTCCAACGGAACCTCAATGATTTTTTACTTATGATCCCATTCTCCAGAAACAGATCAGAACAACCGATTCTCACTGTTACATGGACAACACATCTGCATACTCACATATATTAGACTACTCAATTTATCCATCAATCTAGCTTCATCTTTTTCCCTCTGTTTTCCCTCTCGCATGTAGATATCGGTCTACGTCTCCTGCATGAACATAGTTATAGGTTTATCACTGTCCAGACAACGACGACTTGCGGCATTCAATTTGAGCGAATGAAAAGTCACACACCAAGGAAAATGATGTACTTACCAGCTTATAGCTGTAAGTATGTAGACGCTAGTCACTGCAATTCATGAACCTGCAGTTCAATGCAGACTTCAAACTCGCTGAGCTCTTGATTACTATTCTGAAATTTTTGTCATGTTCTACGTACTAGTACGTAGGCCTGTGCAAACGCGTCAGATATAAATTCTGTTGAAGTGGCTCTCGAGTCCCGCCACAGCCGCCAAAAGCAGTGAGCGCTCGCTGTTTCGCTGAGCCCTCCGACTGCGTGTGAGAGCATGCGTCGGAGGAGGCGTGAAACTGTGCTTCGGACCTCTTCCGTCTTTCTATGCCATCCTCAAGATGAACCCTCCCAGTACATTGATAGGGCCTCCTGGAGGTCCTAGACAATGATTGTGATCAGTGGACGACCTTGGAGCACATCCTTCGAAGCATCTGCATTCTGCCAGGATGGACTAGTAGTGACAAATGTCACGAATCAGTGATCATGATGGTCTGTCTGAAATCAAGCGGCACGGTTAATGAAT